CAAATCCTGTCATTTCCATCTCAAAAACATTGCGCGCATCTGCCCCTACTTAACGCCAGATGCGACTAAGGTGTTGGTCCATTCCACTGTCCTTTCTCGCCTTAACTACTGTAATCCGCTTCTCAGTGGTCTTACGTGCTCCCAACTTGCGCCGTTACAGTCCATAATGAATGCGGCGGCGAGGCTCATATTCCTGTGTGCCCGCACTTCGCATGCCTCACCCTTCTGTCAGTCCCTACATTGGCTTCCTATAAAATATAGAGCTTAATTTAAAATTCTGGTTCTTGCTTTCAAATCTCTACATAATGCTGCTCCCACCTATCTATCCTCCCTTATACACAAGTATGTCTCGTCTAGGCCCTTACGATCTGCTGAAGACTTAAGTCTATCTTCTGTTCGTACTCCCACCTCTGATGCTCGCCTTCAAGATTTCTCGAGGGCTGCACTGTTCCTGTGGAACTCGCTTCCCTCCTCTGTTAGATGCTCACCCAGTCTCCACTCCTTTAAAAAATCTTTAAATACCAACTTCTTCATAAAAGCGTTTCAATTAAACTGTTAATAGCTCCTGACTGATTCCTCTTCTGCAACTGTCACTAGTCTAATACTTTCCTTACCTTTTTGTGTCATTTTACCCCACTCCCTCTAGCATGTAAGCTCATTGAGCAGGGCCCTCAACCCCTCTGTTCCTGTGTGTCCAACTTGTCTGGTTACAACTACATGTCTGTTCGTCCACCCATTGTGAAGGGCTGTGGAATTTGACAGTGCTCTATAAATATCATAATAATAATAATTCTAGGAGTTTGTGTAGATAGGACCCTCCATGGTTGATTATCATCATTTCCCTTCTCAAAGATTAGTGATGTGAGAGAGAGTGTTCATTCTATAATAGAATACACGTGTAGGTCACATCCACTTGTGCGATCAACATGTTCTGTTCACATTCTTTGTCGAATTTTGGCTCTTGTTTTACATTAAAAAATGTACTGCACACAAATCTTTCTCCGACATATTGCTTGTTAAACTTGAGCACCCACTTGTGTACCCGTGAATATACATGCATCACTGTGAGTCAGGATATTTCCTAAAGCAATCCCAGTATGATTGGGTTCATATGTGAACGTCTACAAAACTATACCCATACAGACGGTGGACAAACCTCTTTGTTAGATCTTGAATGTAGAGAGTGCTTGAATCAGAGATCTCTACATAATATAGCACCCTAAATATAATGAATAAGATTAAAAATCATCTTGTGATTTGTGTGTCCATTAAATAGGTTTTGACTATTCTTTTACCAAATGAGTGCCAGAAATATACATAAGGAAGAAGGTCTACTGTGTTACATTGAATGCTAGACCTGTGCAGGGTCAAAGAATGTTGTTTGTTCAAATAAATTTTTCCAAAACAACTTTTGTTAATATAAATATTATGTATATACTGTAATATTATGTGTACAACTTGCAGTACACTGGTAAGCGCATTTTTGCGCTAGTTGGTTCACAGATCAAGTATAAAGACTTAACCAAAAATGAGGAGGAACAGTAAAAAAAAACCTATATAAGTCTAAATAAATATTGCTTACGTGTCACTTGATCTGTGAATTAAAACAACATTTGTCCCCTAACTATCAATAATCTTTTTTCCACCAATTAGCTCGTTTTGGTGCCACATACTAAACTGAAACCAATGAAACGGCTCCTTCGTTCTTTGTTTAGATTGTATCATGATTTGGTCATATGATAATATAGAGTTATGGAATTTGGGCGACTCGCCAGTCATCAAGAATTCGGATAAATTGTGATTCGCTTGAAACCAAAGGCGCACAAATCGATTCAATAGATATTTACAGTAGATTTCACTCCTAAAATTTTCTGCTTTGTGTCTCTTGTAAAACATCATTAAATATTTATGTATCATGGGCTATGTAAAAATATGCATATATCTTAAAAACTCCCTACTGCAAGGTTAGAGGTTAATATAACAACAGAACAGTGACTGAGTCGCATCACACAAAAACAAAAGGTTTAGACTTTAGAAAAACAGACTTTTCTAAAATTAGAATATGTGTAGTGGAGTCATTATCAGACTGGAACAATTTAAATGGAGTCCAAGAGAAATGGGATTATTTAAAAGTTGCACTACTGAAGGCAACAGAAAATTGCAAAACCAATTTTGCACCGTTGCATAAGACTTTTTTTGTATGTGCTGGTGTGTGTCTGTAAGTAAAGACAAATAAGTCAATGGGACCTGATGGAATACACCCAAAGCTATTAAAAGAGCTTAGTGGTGTACTAGCAAAACCATTAACAGATTTATCTAACCAATCATTGTTAACAGGAGTAGTCCCAGAAGATTGGAAGTTAGCGAATGTTGTGCCCATTCACAAGAAAGGTAATAGGGAGGAGTCGGGCAACTATAGGCCAGTAAGCCTTACTTCAGTAGTGGGGAAAGTGATGGAAACCATGTTAAAGGATAGGATTGATGAACATCTAAAAACACATGGATTTCAAGATCAGAGACAACATGGGTTTACTTCAGGGAGATCATGCCAAACTAATCTTATTGATTTTTTTAATTGGGTAACTAAAATTATAGATCAGGGTGGTGCAGTAGACATTGCTTACCTAGATTTCAGTAAGGCTTTGGACACTGTTGCACATAGAAGGCTTATCAATAAACTGCAATCTTTAAGTTTGGATTCAAATATTGTTGAATGGGTAAGGCAGTGGCTGAGTGACAGGCAACAGAGGGTTGTAGTCAATGGAATATATTTGAAGCTTGGACTTGTCACCAGTGGGGTACCTCAGGGATCTGTACTTGGACCCATTCTCTTTAATATTTTTATTAGTGATATTGCAGAAGGTCTTGATGGTAAGGTATGTCTTTTTGCTGATGATACTAAGATATGTAACAGGGTTGATGTTCCAGGACGGATAAGCCAAATGGCAAATGATTTAGGTAAACTAGAAAAATGATCAGAATTGTGACAAATGACATTTAATGTGGATAAGTGCAAGATCATGCATCTTGGATGTAAAATCCCAAGGGCAGAGTACAGAATATTTGATAGAGTCCTAACCTCAACATCTGAGGAAAGGGATTTAGTGGTGATTATTTCTCATGACTTAAAGGTAGGCAGACAATGTAATAGAGCAGAAGGAAATGCTAGCAGAATGCTTGGTTGTATAGGGAGAGGTACTAACAGTAGAAAGAGGGAAGTGCTCAGGCCATTGTACAGAACACTGGTGAGACCTCACTTGGAGTATTGTACACAGTACTGGAGACCATATCTTCAGAAGGATATTGATACCTTAGAGAGAGTTCAGAGAAGGGCTACTAAACTGGTTCATGGATTGCGAGATAAAACTTACCAGGAAAGGTTAAAGGATCTTAACATGTATAGCTTGGAGAAAAGATGAGACAGGGGGGATATGATAGAAACATTTAAATACATAAAGGGAATCAACACAGTAAAGGAGGAGACTATATTTAAAAGAAGAAAAACTACCACAACAAGAGGACATAGTCTTAAATTAGAGGGACAACGGTTTAAAAATAATATCAGGAAGTATTACTTTACTGAGAGGGTAGTGGATGCATGGCATAGCCTTCCAGCTGAAGTGGTAGAGGTTAACACAGTAAAGGAGTTTAAGCATGCGTGGGATAGGCATAAGGCTATCCTAACTGTAAGATAAGGCCAGGGACTAATGAAAGTATTTAGAAAATTGGACAGACTAGATGGGCCGAATGGTTCTTATCTGCCGTCACATTCTATGTTTCTATGTTTAACAGATGTCCATTTTCAGGGAAACTTGAGAATATATATATATTATATTTTTTCATGTACAAGTACTGTATATGCAAGGAGGAATATAGATCAAAACTTTAATTAACTTCTTTTATATTCCTTGTTTATTTCATTTCACTTGGTCTGGGTGTATCTTACATTTAATAAATTGTAAGTCTTTGCAGAGAACAAACCATTCTGTCTTTGGATATAGGTCTCAGACAGGGTGCTGTAATCTGGGTAATTAAACCCAATATTGCTCTAACCTGTACAAGTTCTGCTTTCTCTGAGATTTTGAATAGCTGTTATTTACTATAAAAACACCTTTAATCACTAGTTCAAATAAAGCGTTACATATTAATTTTGTCAGAGGAGACGTTCAGTCCTTTCCCATGATGTTCGGATTCTATATCAAGTTTAAATGTTTTTTTTTTGTTTTTTTAAATGACCTTGTCTCTGACACCTGCAATACAAGCACTCCGTACTGTGGGTCTGGACATTCTAGACTAAGAGCAGACAACCTTCAGCACTCCAAATGTTGTGGACTGTATCTCCCCTAATGGTTTGTCAGCATTAGAGTTGTAAGTGTATTATGGGAAATGTAGTCCAAAACATCTGGAGCGCCAAAGGTTGCCTACCCGCATGCCCTTACCAATAGAAAACCCCAAGCTCCACACTCTTCTTCTCAGCTTCATACTGTCCATGATTGAATGAGATTGTTGTCATAGTTAGAAACACTCCGGAGTACCGGTTGCCACCGCATGTGATAGAAGACCATGTTTATTTACTTCGGGAGTCGCAGTTCTGACCATGGTTGAATAAAAAATAAACAAACAAATGTCTAATAGTAATTACAATATGTGTCTTTATTGTCCAGAAGCCTACTTAGTTTCTACAGTGACTTTCTATATACCAGAATTTTTCCCATGGAACCCTCTGACATAGTGTAGCAACATCGTGGAACCCCCGCCCTCCCCATAAAACCAATTTTGCGCCGTTGCATAAGCCTTTTTTTTGTATGTGCTGGTGTGTGTCTGTATGTCAAGGTGTGTGAGTCTGTGTGTGTATGTATCTGTATGTCAGTATGTATCTCTCTGTGTGTGTATGTATCTGAGACACAGCTACACACAAACTGGCACATAGTGGCACACAGATACACACACTGACACACAGATGCACACACCTTGACACACTGTGTGTATCTGTGTGTGTGTGTGTGTGTGTGTGGGTGTATGTATGTGTGTGTCAAGGTGTGTGTATATCTGTGTTTGTATGTGCCAGTGTGTCTGTGTGTATATATCTGACACACAGATACACACACACACACACACACACACACACTGACACATAATAGCACACAGATACACACACCTTGACACATAGATAAACACTGACACACAGATACACAAACCTTGACACACAGTGTGTATCTGTGTGTGTGCATCTGTGTCTCAAGGTGTGTGTATCTGTGTTTGTATGTGCCGGTGTGTGTCAACGTGTGTGTATCTGTGTTTGTATGTACCAGTGTGTGTATCTGTGTGTCAGTGTGTATCTGTGTGTGTGTATGTATCTGACACATAGATACACACACACACACACACTGGCACATAGTGGCACACAGATACACACACTGACACACAGATACACATACACACACCTTGTCACACAGATACATACACACTGGCACATACACACACACTGACAGATACACAAACACAGACACTGGCACACATATATACACACACAGTGACACATACACACACCTTGACACAAACTGGCACATACACACCCAGATTCACACACATTGGCAGATACACACATTGACACAAGTACACATACACATACACACACACTGACACATATGTTTAAATGTTTAACTTACCCTTTTTCTTCCTTCAGTGCTGCAGGCTGAGGATGGTGTGCCAGGTTGGCAGCTGCTCACTCCCCACTGCGCTCCCTCTCCCTCCAGCTGGCACACTCTATCTGGGAGGAAGTGCTGTCACTTCCTCCCTGCATCCCATACATCAAGTATCCGGTCGCGATCTTAGACGCCCTCGGCACATACCTGATCGGACCTCTGTTTATCGATTCCCACTGGGTGGCACTAAATGCCCCAGGGTTCCACAGAACACTAATTGGGAAACGCTGCTTTATACATATAACTCGGATGCTGGGGTGGAATATTCTAACTAATTTCCAAAATATGTTACACACTAGCTTTCAAGACTTACCTAGACATAGCATGCCTTCTGCTTATATATACCCTTAGTTCCTCCAAATAATACAGGTTTGAGTATATTTCTAAACAAGACAAAAAAAACAATGGTACATCTTTCTGTGGATCCCAATTTATTTTAGTGTAATGGAGGGCTAATATTAAAGGGAAACTATAGTCACCAGAACCACTACAGTCTTAATGTAGTGGTTCTGGTGTCTATAGGCTATCCCTATAGACTTTCAATGTAAACGCTGCTTTTTCAGAGAAAGGTTATGCTGGCTAGTGACACCTCTAGAGGTACTTTCTAGTCCAATGCTGCACAGTTTGAAGCACCTATGTTCAGTGTCTACACACTTTGCCTGGAGATGTTAAACGCTCCACATAGAGATACATTGAATCAATTCACTGAGCTGGTGTTAGTGCAGCTTGGTGTTTTTCATGCACAATAACCTCCCAATGCTTTCCCATTGGATTGGCTGAGATTATCAAAACTGATTATCTCAATCATGGAGTCAGGGGCCAGCTGCCCCGACACCTGCATGCGGCGGTGGATAAAAGGTAAGTGTAACACCTTTAATTCCACAGACAGGGGGATGGACAACTAAATATGTAATTCAGCACTAAATTATTCATTCAAAGGTTATGCTGTCTAGAGGCCCCTGGTGCTGTCCTTGCATTTATCACTCAACAAATTTGAATGGTTTTATGCTTACGAAGAGTTTAGCTTGTGGTAACAAGGAAGCATTATCTGTGATTGGCTGAGAGAGCCTATCACAGCACCCATTTCTTGGATAAATTGGTATGACTAAGGAAATTGATTATTTCTACCTGAGCCATACCTCTAGTAGGGGCTGGATTGGGCTTGCCAAGGACCATTATTTAGTGTTAAACTGAAAATGGTTCAACATTAAATTGAGGGACCGGGTCATAAAAAAATCTAATGGGATGAAATGATTATAGTGCCTACAGCGTCATTTTAAATAACTTTTAAATAATTATTAGATTGTATCCAGTTGATTCAGAGTAGGAATTAGATTAATAAATAGTCAAATTAATTTTTTTGTGGAGGAGACAAGCATGATCTCATTTTAAATCCTTAGGTTTGAGGAATTTTGGTTGAACTGTGAGACATTAATGAGGAATCTTTCTCCATGCCAGTTTTCGACAGTGAGACTGAGAATGGCCTTTCATGTGGTTAAAGGAAACCATTGAAGGTCACCTGATTTAGTCAGATGACAATTACAAGTAGATTATGGTTGTTTTACTGTTGTGGAATCAAATTCTTTAAGATGGCATGCTGTGTTAAGAGGATTGTAATCAACTGGTATCGTCTAGCAACATGCAAATCTACATAAAGCCGATTAAAAGATTTAGGAGAAAATCAAAGTCTTCGCTGATCAGTTAGCACATTTAAACAACATTGAATCCTTTTCAAATTCCATTAAAACCTTTATATGTTTACCGGCTATTGTGCAAAGGTTCGTCTGGATGTGCGATGTGTGAGAATAATGTAAATATAATAAACGCGATGATTTAATAAGACATAGTGCATTGAGAATGCAAACACTAAATTTCAGAAGAGAAGAAACTAGTTACAGAATTGTGTAAAATTGATAAAGGATTGTAAAATAGAGACCAAACTAGTTGAAGTAGAAATATGTTTCCAATGCAGCAATTTTTTTTTTTTTTTATAGTTTCTCTCAATTTTCTACCCTTGCCCTGGTGGTAAAAGCCAGGTGCCCATCAAGAGATACTGAGTGAGATGGAGGTGGTCTATATATGACAGAAGCATACCTCTCTAAAATGGGAGGTATGAAATTGGGCTAGGTGGGTGGGCCCTGAGAGGGGCGTTGCCAGTGAATTCAAACATGCCAGGTGGACTGACAGCTGTCTGGCCAGCCCTCAACGTACAGAACAATGCAGAGAGTGCGCTCTGTGTGGTCCTTGTGCCCCTTTACAGCACTAACATGTCTAATTATGAACATGCAAAATTAAGACTGGCACTACTCCTGGGCAGCAGCAATGACCACAGCACACATCAGCCCAGTACATACAATAAAAATCAGAGAAAAAGTTACTTGCATACTATCCCAAATCCTTAAGCACATTTAAATAACTGGAGTTTTTTTTTAGTATTACTCCAATGGTCATTTAAGTGCAAGCTCACCTGTCACGTCTAATTATGTACTCGTGCTGTGCTGCCCAAGGACAAAAAATCAAGAGAGTGAGACAGGAGCCTGATATTTGTAGTGTTGGGAGGCCTGCAGAAAAACCCTCCCATTTCTATCTTTAACACAATTGCTTTCCTTTGAGGACCTGTATGTCCTCAAAGGAAAGCAATCATCACTTTTCATCAAGTGTGGTGGGTCAAAAACACTCTGTGCGGGGCTTCACAGGAGACCAGCACAGACGCCATCTCTGGAGCTCCATGAACCTCGCACCATGAACCGGGAATTACTCCCAAACCCGCCGGTAAAAGACCTACCTGCACTCTACCATCGGCAGTAGGAGACCGAGAGGCATACATCGATGCCTTTTTTCCAGCAAACGGGCGCCAAACCAAAACGCTGACCTCCCAAGGCCTCCCACGTGGTCGGCCCGAGAATCACGCCGCACACCTCTGCGGCCTAGTGGGACCCGGACTGGCTCACACCCGACCCCCAACAAACACAGACTCAGGGGTCAGAAGAGATGGGGAAAAATCCCACAAATCCCAGGCATCCGCCTCCCAAGACATGCAGGACATAGGCTTGCTGCTTCAACGCACATAAAGCACAGGGAGCAGGAGCAGACTGAGACAGGGGCCTATGACCTCAAAGAGAAAGAAGGGGTGAGTGACACCACACAGGGGCCACCCCCAACAGGGCTCCAAACCACGCATATCCCGACCAACCAAGACCCTGCGACTAAGCAAGATATAGAAGACCTTTTTAATCGCATCCAACAACATTTTGCTGCTGACATAGCCGCGGTGCAAACAGAAGTGCAGGCGGTCACCGCCCATGTCCAGGCGACTGACTCCACCATAGCCGACTTACAACGCCAAATAACGGCAGTAAAAGACTCAGTCAAGCAGTTACAGGGGCACCACTTAGAAACCTCGCGGAGAATTGATGCACTAGACGAAAGATCGCGTCAGAAAAACGTCAAGATCAGAGGAGTCGCAGAAACAGTATCTTCTGAGGAACTGCCGCACCTCATCAGGAGAATGGTGTCCAAGTTACTCCCAGCGAAACAAGCTAAACAATTCACGCAAGATGGGACCTACCTAACACAGCACCAAGGGACATAATATTTTGTGTTATTCTCTCCATGCTGTCCTTACCTGGTAATTGAAACTTACATATGTTGACCTGACTGAAGCCACAGAGAAGTCTGTGCACCTAGACAGTCGTTACCCTAGAGACGACCACAATAGCGTCCATTCACTACCGACTATACCATACACACCTCCCCCACCGACGTCCCCTAAGGTTAGGGACTAAGCAAAAGCCTATACATGCTGAGCACATGAGCATGCCACTAACCGGCACTCTATTATTACCCCTCATAGCAACACTGTAGGTATAGGTTCTTAGTCTACGAGTCCATAATATATCTTGTTCATTCATAAACAATTGATAGCACGATAAGACAACCACAAGAGTCAATTAGGCCCTGCTGCAACCGGACGGGCTCCTAACAATCGAATATAAACCCCTTCTGAGGGCCCAAGGCCTAGATGATATATTGACAGGGGAGGTCGGTACCTGAGACTCAACTACCAGTTTAATGGTTATCGACCAAAAGAAAAAAAAATTCAGGTGTTAGGTATTTGTATACAATGAGCAGCACTGGATATTAACGTGTACCAAATGTGCCATCCGCATTTTGTACTATTTTATAATGCATCACCTGCAAAAATAAAGAATTTCAAAAACACTCAGGGCTTGAGCCCAATTAAATTTGGTGACCCACTGTTAAAAATTCCATCTCTTGTCCCTCTGCAAAATCCACCTCCAACAACCCTTACTGTGCCTCACACGCACCACATTTACACAGACAGGCAGAAATACACAGGAACAGATAGAAACAAACAATAAGAGACAGGAACAGATAGATACACACACAGGCACAGA